AATTGCTGTGGCCAGCAAAAGAACCAGTACATAATAGCTCTTTATGTATATGCAGTTTACCATCTCGATTTTATTAATTCAATAACCAACAAATACTTAATAAAAGGGCACACCCAAAATGAGGGTCATAATGTCCACTCCCTTATTGAAAGAGGAGTAGGTAAAGCTCTAAAGTCTGGACCCATATATACACCTGACCAGTATGTGCACATTATAAGAAATGCTAAAAAATCTGGTAAAGCCTATCAAGTAAATGAATTAGTACACGAAGATTTTTTTGATATAAAAGCGTTGGCTTCATCGATAGGCAAAAATTTTTCTAAGAATATGGACAAAGAAACGTTAAAGCTAGGAGACGTCAAAATTTTAAAGGTGGAATCTAATGACTCTAGTTACTGTTTTTCCTATAAAACATCGTACGAGGACACAGAGTTTAAAACAGTCATGATAGATAAAATTGGTAAGACAAGAAACACTGCCAATAATATCACTGTTAAAAAGGCATACAGAGAAAAAATCCCAATATGTGAGAAGAAGAAGAAGGGTTTGCTAGACCTTATTAGGAAAAATATTGTACCAAGATTTTATAAACCGTTTTTTGAGAATCTCTAATTTTTATTATTAATTGTGTACCTGAAGAAGACTGATTATGCGGTAGTTGCCCAATGTTTGATAGATTTTTTTGTTTCTTATTTGTAATGAACCGAATTATTTTTAAAAAAAGCACAAGTTTGTTATTTTTTTTATGTTTAAGCATGGTTCATAATGTTCCTAATTATTTTTAGTTTGTTGATATTTTTTATGTTTATGGTTCATAATGTTCCTAAATATTTTTAAAAAGCAAAACTTTGTTATAATGTTATTTTTCCTAATTACTTTTAAGAAGCGTAATAGATAGATATTGTTGTTTAGATTTCTTTTATGTTTGTGATTCCTAATATTTTAATGTGATAATTTTAATATGCGTACTGGTAGCTACCTTGATGACAGTAATAGACATACTGCAAATTGTTATAAAATGTGGACTATTTGATGTTTATATTAATTTTTTACGTATATTTTGTATGACAGCATTTTCTTCTAAAAATACTTTTCTACAGGTTTGTTTAATCTCTAAATTATCATATTTAGAGATTAAACAAACCTGTAGAAAAGTACACAGAAACAGAAATGTGTTACTCTACAGAAAAAATCGTTCCGACGGCTTCAGCATAAAACAAATAAATTGATTAGTGTTTGAACACACTTTTCATTAATATTATCTTTATCGTAATTGTGTTACTATTACAGATTTTTTTTATATCTTGTAGATCATATTACCAGTTATGCCATTGTAAAACTAAAATTGTGAACTATTCATATGTATTATTTTGATTTGATATTTATTCATGATAATATACCAAAACTCATTTTGTAACAAGTCGAATAAGTCATAGTTTTTAATTATTAATTAAGGTATTCGCAGCTTAAAACCTGAATTTTTAAATTATAATCAAACCTTGATTAATGTCCTTTCGATTTATATATTCTACTCTTATAATGATTAAAAACATGAAAAGTTATGACAGTAAATATTTTGTTTAATTTTCAAATAGCTACCCTGTAAAATGTGTGTTTTTGGATTGTGCGATTATTCGTGCAAAGCAGCGAACTGTATTAAGATAGCTGCTAATGCGCTTGTCGGTTGTCGGAACTGTATACCAATATTTAAAAAAATTAAGACAGAGACGGAGATATGTGCATTGTAAAAGTGTACCCCGTGTAACACTGTGCCCCACCTTACCCTACTGTTCTCAGGTTAAGTCTGACATTGATTTTTTTTATTTAAATAGCGTTAAACTTCTTAATCGATATGGAAGCCAAAACTCGTTTTTTTATCTGTCTATACATTTGAACACAATAAATAGGCTATGAAACTACAGAATGGAATTTGAAACGTGACATGATTTTAGAACCAATTACTTGCATTTAGTTTGAGTACCAAGAAAGTTTAATAACATATCATAATCACAGTAGATACATCACAGAAGCTACGGAAATATTAAAAAAAACATGCGTGAGTGTCGTGGAACACTCGGTTGGAACGAAGTTCCTTTCGTAGTATATTATTATTGATAAACGTATTATATTATTGATTAACAAATACAAATAAATGAATTGCTAGCGTCTATTAAAATGAAGCGTCATTTAAAATAATATTTCTTTCGAGGCAAGATAAGAAAAAGTGCGAAAGAGATGGATATTATTCCATACATTATGTTTACGTATAGAAAGGGTGTCGTGACGGAAAAATCTTACACTTTTTCTCACCCCACCCGTCAAATTCGTACCGTGCGATAAGGAACTTCGTTCCAGCAATAAAAAAAGCTCTTTCGAACTTATTTCTGCCGCTTTTTCATTTCTCTCCTAAGCTCAGGAGTGACAATGCATCTCTAGTTTTCTTTGTTTCAATTTGATTGCAGTTGGCTGCTCTTTACTTACTATCAGCTGGACTGTTTCAAAGTCAAAGTCAATCTCTTTTATTGAAAATTGACTTTTACAAATCCCTTTTCGGAAATCAAATACTACGCCAAATGTTTGCTTAAGTACACTAATTATAAATAAAAAAAATAATGAAGAGAATTCAGTTATACGTGGTGCATACTGAAAATTTTACTAAAATTAATAAAGTAAAAGTAGTAAGGTTAAATCAGTAAACGTATTAGTTTAAATTTAACTTTAAACTAATACTTTAACTGCTTTTCAAAGTATTCTCCATAGAATTTTAGCACTTTTTCATTCGTTCAGACCATTTTTGAAAACATAAACGAAAAAAAAATGGTTTATGGGCATGTTTTTAACGTGCTGGTTAAAACCTTTCACGGCCTCTTCTAGCTCCGTAAATGTCAAAGATCTCATCAAATCCTTGATTTTGTGCGAAGTCTGGACTGTGTACGGGATGGATCACAAACTCCACCTTTTTAGAAGCCAAAATGACTTCGTTTTGTTCCCGGTGTGCGCCGAAACATTGTCATGGTGCAATAGGATTCACTTGGTCGTGTTTCCCTAACTTTTTTAAAGACACTGGACAAACAAATGGTGGTGTACCTCACTCAGCACTTGGCATAAAATGGGTTTTGCTTATTTAGTGAGATACCAATTTGAGAAAAAAAAACGCAATCATTTTTTTGCCCACGCTTCTTCCTGTCTTAATTTTGTTGGTATACAGAAGGCTTTTTGCTTGCTTTCTTGTCGGAATGTAACAATATATCCATGTTTCATCTACTGTCACCATGTCATATACAGCATTTAAACATCCGTGATCATACTTCACCATCTTTTTTTTTTACACCAATCAACTCGAGTCCGTTTTCGTTCTGGGGTGAGTTCATGAAAAACCCAGCGGCAACAAAATTCACAAACTTTTAAATAGCGTTTTTTTTTTTTAATTTGGCTCATCATACCAATAATAAAATAATTTGGCTCAAAATACGCAGTTGAGGGTCAACATTCACGAACTTCATCATGGAGAGAAATACGGCAACGTTGAAATTCTACGTAGCAACGTCTTACGGTGCTCAAATGAGGTACTACCCTCCCAAAACCATTTTGATAACTCAGTGCAATCAGCGAAGCGAGTCATAAAAAATCATCGCCCCAAAATTTTTTCGCAATAATTCTATTTTTGCTACGAATGACGACTTCGACTTGTGATAAAAATCAGTTGACACGCGACATTCTGCTATAAATTATTTTATACAATACTAACGATCCATACCGGCTTCGCTCGGGTGATTTCGGGAAAATTCTATATATTTTTATAATTCTATATTTCTTTCCAATTCTCGAAATGTCAAATCTAAACCATCCAATCAGACACTTTTAAACTTTACACAAATTTTCATCAAAATCGGTCCAGCCATTTAGACGGAGTTCAATGGCAAACACACAGAACAAAATATTGAAATAAGTGTAAATAAGCGATGACCTATCATTAATCTCTTAGATTAATGATAGGTCATCGCGCGACCTATCATTAATCTATGAACTAGCTGTTACCCGGCGCGTTGCTGCCGCAGAAGAAATAATTGTGGAAATAATTTAAATTTGGAAGAGCAATATTGTTTAGAGAATAAATTTGTCGACACGATACGCGCGCTACCTACTGTACGTTAATTGAACTATACCTATAATCTTTGCGCAAAACTTGCAAGTTAGTTAATAAGTTAACAAAGTTTTACTGCAATCTGATGAACGGTATGGTAGCGCATAAAATACGAACAAACAAACATTAATTTTTATATATAATATATATAAAGATATGACTTTCTGTTTTAATAAATACGGTTTTAAGGTTTAAACTTTCAGTGTGCCCAATGTATAAATAGATAAATAATATATAGTTACCACTCGTATTGTGAGCAAAACGCCAGACGGAAGGACAGCGCTGTCGCAAACTGCGATTATCCTATTATGATCCCGTGGGTGACTCTGGAGCTTGATTAACCATACGTCGACCTTTTACGTATGGTTCGAGCATTCCAACTAAACAACCTTTAAATTGTTTTAAAAAGATGTGTACACTTTAAACAAGTTAAATGTCTTTTGTATAGTAATGATGTCTACGTGAATTTAGGAAGCCACATACATATTATTATTATCAAGTCGAAACTGATCTACGTTCAATAGCCAAATATATAGACAGAACTTCAAACTGGTGTAAACACAATGTTATTAAATTATTGACCTCTCGTAATTAAAATATAGTCCAGCCTTTTAAAGTCCACTGATGATAAAATAAAACAACAGGATTTACAAAAATGCGCTCTTACACATTTATTTCTTGAATGATGATTTGGCAACTATAATACAAAAACAACACTTTATACTAAGAGATATTGGTTTTAGAGGCAACAGGCACAATGACTGCCTATCCACATGTTCTATATTACTTGTAAAAATATAAAATGAGTAACTATAATTTCACCTAAGTGTGTTTAAATATAAATTAAATTTTACAGAAGACCCCATATTGAAGAAGTCATGCCTATCGCCCAGGGAGATACTGGAGGTGTATGGGATGGAAAACGAGCCGGGAGTCATAACTATCAACCCAAAAACATTTCTAGAAATGTGTCCTGCTCTTGTTTACCAATTGGACCAACGCTCCTGCTACAAAACTGAAGTTCCGGCACCTAAGTTAGAAAGATATTTAAGTAAGTACATAAAAAGGCCATATAGGATATAAGCACACTACCTACATTTTTTTAAAACTATATATAATTAAATACTATAAAAATTTATTTTTGGCATTTACATACTTATATTTTTTTTACGTGGTAGAGCCATGCTCCAGCTATATTAGTAGTATAGTTGTAGCACGAATGGGTCGGCTCGACCGGGGAAGGACCACACTCTCACAGAAAACCAGCGTAAAATAGCAGCTTAACGCTGCTGTGTTTCGTATGGTGAGTGCAGAGAACCGGAGATCCTTTTTACTGGCAAAGAGGCATTCCATCTTAGTCCTCACGGGTAACAACGCATCTGCATCTTGAGTCTTTATTGAAGATAGATGTAGATGTCTATGGGTCACAGTAACCACTTACCATCAGGTGGACTGTGTGCTCGTTTGTCACCCTATCCTATAAAAAAATATACATATGTGCATATTTTTTTGTTGGAAAAACATTAAAAAGGTGAATTTTTAAAATAATAATAGTGTGAGCGTGAGAACGGATATTCAACTTGTTCTCTTGCTTACGCAATAAATCAATAACATCAATAAAAACCAACCGTATAGCGGCGGCGTGTAACAATATCCACTACTCCATATCGCCCCGTGACTCTCGTAAGAGATGACAGAAGGAAACAAACCAGGCATAGGTTTATAGGCAGCAGCGTCTTCCTGATAATAACTAAAAATAATAATAATCTATGATTACCAACCCGCCTGCCAAGCTTGACTCACTGGCACTGCGAAGAGATGTTGCTGATCTCTTTGCGTATTCTATCGATCTACCACGGGGAGTGCTCTAAGGAATCGTTCGGACTAATTCCATCAGGTAAGCCCCATGCTCCTTTGGCCCCCCTCAGCTATATATATTTAAAAAACTGCGTAGCTGCTATGGCAACTAGCTTCCTTGTGGTTTATAGGGATGCCTATGTTTAGCAGGAGATTTTGTGAGGCTGTAATGATGATGTTGATGAACAATAAAACCGCGTACCGCACTATACACTAAGTATAGAGTAGTTACAGTTCAACCATACCGTTATACGTCACTAATAACTTATAGAGTGGCCAATGCGGACATTGTCATACAAAACTTTGATCTCGTCTCTAAGTAATTTTAACTACCTTTAAATAGCAAAAACACGCATTAAAATAATCAGAACTAACTTCAGCGCAGTTCGTAAACTTTCTCCGAAAATTGTTTTCTTTTAGCCAATACGACCTCTTGTGGCCTTATATCATACTAGACTAAGCGACTATATATAGGTAACAAGTCATAGATTACAATTTTCACTGCTTCGTCCCATCTATCGCTAGTTAATATTTAAATGTCTTTGCTAATCACACATCAGTATATCGTGACCGGCGTAAATACATGATAACACAAAAATAGAAGATATGCAAATCATCAGCAACATTGCTTATCTCAATGCATCACAGGGCAGTCTCTCACCAACACACTTGAAAAATTACCGCATCAGACAAAACCACGACTCACAAGATAACCGATTAAATGATTGATCGAATGACTGTGAATTGTTTTTTCACTGGCCGACCTACCGAAAACTATATCTCGTCACCAACGTTCATGCACACATTATTACATTTTTATTGTAAAGCTCAACACACACGACTTTTTTACGTGGTAGAGCCATGCTGCAGCTATATTAGTAGTATAGTTGTAGCACGAATGGGTCGGCTTGGCCGGGGAAGGACCACGCTCTCACAGAAAACCAGCGTAAAAAAGCAGCTTAACGCTGCTGTGTTTCATATGGTGAGTGTAGAGGACCGGAGACCCTTTTTACTGGCAAAAAGGCATTCCATCTTAGTCCTCACGGGTGACAACACATCTGCATTTTGATTCGCAAACGAAGAGAGTTGCAATGATGATGGTGATGATTTATTCACTATGATAAACAACAATTTACATTACATAATAAAAAAAAAACATCTATATCTCTCCATAAATTACATTGCCCCAATATTGGTGAGCCTTATATTATATTAATATTAAGTTAAGGTAGCTCAAGGGCTAAGCGCTTGCTGTAAATTTCACAGTACGCGAGCAACCTGGGTTCGGTTCCCGCCGGCATCAATTAAATTGTTAATTGCAATTTTAAGTGCTGATTTACCACGTGCTCGGCGGTGAAGGAAAACATCGTGAGGTAACCTGCATGTCTGAGAAATATGAAAATAATATATTTCGAAGACATGTGAAGTTCGCCAACATGCATTGGAGCAGCGCGGCGGTCATTCCCTTGCCCTAAAACCCTCCCAGAAATGAGAGGAGGCCTGTGTCCAGTAGTGGGACATATATAGGATGTAACTTTTACTTTTATATCAGCGACGATATATAGTTATCGGTATCGACAAATGAAAAAACGCTCTAAGCCTAAACGTTTCATTTTTCTGACGTCCTGTATATTGAATCACTTCTAAACAGTTCTAATAAAATTGTACCCGCACAATTCCATAAGACAGTTTAAAAGAATTCACACTATTTTATTTGTTTCAGCCTGGCTGTTTGCAAGTTTAAGTATTCTCGTGATAAGCGCTACCGGTCTGTTTGGAGTTGCGATAGTTCCTTTATTAAAGTCAGTTATATTCAATCACGTACTACACTTCCTGGTGGCTGTTGCGGTTGGTACGCTATGTGGTGATGCTCTATTACACTTATTACCTCATGCTTTAAAATCGCACGGACCACCATCTGCCCCACAGGAAGAAACAGAAGTAGTGCTCAAATGTAGCGTTACTTTTTTAACTATCTTACTGTTTTATACGGTAGAAGCTGTCATGCAAACAATTAATGGTGGACACGCACACTCTCATGATCACGCACAAGGAAAGGCGGTAGAAGAAGTAAAAGTGGAACCTGCAAAACAAACAGAACAAATTGAGCTCGGCGCTATGATGCCTGGATCGCCTCCTCCGCCTGTTGAGAGACCGATGACATCAACTGCCCTTATGGTAATTGTTGGTGATGCCCTGCACAATTTAACTGACGGCCTCGCGATAGGAGCGGCTTTCAGCGGAGATCCAGTGACAGGTTTTGCTACAGCTCTTGCCGTGTTTTGCCACGAACTGCCACATGAGTTAGGTGATTTCGCTGTTTTACTGCGCTCGGGTATGAGCATTAGACGTGCTCTATATTACAATCTACTGTCTTCTGTGTTGAGCTTCATGGGTATGGCTGGAGGTATATGGCTTGCGGAGGATCATGAATCGGCTTCACAATGGATATATGCTGCAACGGCTGGTACATTTTTCTATATAGCACTTGCTGATTTGGTTCCCGAAATTAATGAAAATAACCACGGGAAAAGTGTTAACGTATTTCTTGCAGTTCTTGGTATATTCACTGGTGGTGTAATTATGCTTATGATAGCTTTACACGAAGACTCTATACAGTATCTATTTAGAAGTGCGGAACAATGAACAAGCTGTAGATGTAAAGTACATTTTGTATTGTGATATTTCTGCTTTAGGTACCTTACTCATGGTTGTTATATTTGTATGTTAAGTAGTTAAAATATAGGTAATTTTTGTACATTACATTATGCCAAAACTCAAAAGTGATTGTAATAAAATTTATTAAACATAAAGACGCGGGAACATTTGTAAAAAAAGTAACGGCGAAACACTGGCAATTCAGTTAACTTAAGATTTGTTTTAGATTTTTTTATTATTTAGTTATACTTCATATATTTATGTTTAATTCCATAGATTAACTTAGTATACCGTAGATTAATAAGAGATAATATAATATATTATAATAATATTATTACATTGCATAACACGTACAAAGTATTGAATGTGCATTTCAATGTTACTATGTTGCAGCTACAGGTCTTAGCACACATAGGTCGGCTCGACCGGGAAAATACCACTCTCTTACAGAATACCAGCGTAAAATAGCAGCTTAATGCTGCTGTATTTTGTATGGTGAGTGTAGACTACAGGAGACCCTTTTAAATGGAAACGTAGCAATCCGTTTTAGTCCTGAGGGATGACAACGCTGCTGTATTTTGATTCTTTCCTAAACACAAATAGATGTACTCGTAGATATCTATGAATCACAGATTCCATTTATCATCATCTATCAGGTGGACTATATGCTCGTTTGTCACCCTTATTCTATATAACATCCGCTGCTGTATAAAGTCCAATTCAATATTGTGTCATTAAACATGTAATTTTGGAAAGAGTCAGCTCAACAAGCTGGGTGGGTTATGACCACACGGCTAACGACGTTCGCACTGGCGATACTGCACTCCATGAACGTTTCTGCGGGATTTGGGTTCGGCATTTTAGAGGGATTAGTTTATTCATTCATTCATTAGCTGTCAGAGGCTCCTCTTTTAGTCAATCGGGTATACCGCCTGTAGGTGAGGTTGATAATTGGAAAAAAGGTTAGCATAAAGCCTTTATGAAATGGGTTAGGAAGATACACTTAATTTAGGTTTATATTCATACTGTGACGAAGGTCATGACAAAAGAAACTACATACTCATTTTATTCTATAACATTAACATTCATCTTTTCAAAGTAATTATCACCATATCACCAATATGCACGTAGGATATATCCATACGTCTAAACCACTTGTAAAAATTTGACCACATCCTTGCCTTTGATTTATTAAAACGGCCAAAAATTACCACGCTGATAATACTTTTAGGACCATCTTTTATCACCAGTCGGTACATCGTAAACGTTTTTATTTGTTGCCGACGTCGTATTTCTTCATTAGGAATTGGCGCCAACCCACCAGACGGTCTCACTGATAACCGCTAATTTTGGGTGGCACCCATCTCGAGAAATGCTTACAGAGTGAAAGTTTTAATCGTGATCGAGCAGACTCATCTAAAGTAGTAGCAAAAAAATGCCCTAAGCGCTTAAACCTGTCAAAGACTTTTGAGACATTAAAGGAAACAGCAATTGCTTCCACATTTTTCCCTAAGGCCTCGCCCCCAAATGTATGTGACATACTAGAATGTCTGTCTCTTATATACAAAAAAACTATTGGTCAATCCAATTGTGCATGCCCTAAGCTCATTAAAAAAAATTCGTATAACATAATTATACGGACATTTTTAAAGTAATTTAAATACACACAAGTTTTCACTAATAACCTTATTATACTTCCAATTTTCCAATAATTTTATGTCAAACTTCATTTTAAAAAAAGTTTGGAAAATCCAAAAGTGCACGACTTATAATGCTAATATGATCATCATATCATCATTCAGGTCACAAATATATACATCCTAATTACTTTTAGTACGTAATACTATTATTTATTGTGTGCTTTTAAATATTGTAATAAAAATCTCTGATTATTATGATAATCAAGCATGCTTGAAATTTTGTTTTTCGAATATTTTGTATTTGTACAGCGATCTTTTTGAGCCGCTGCAAACAAACGATACACTATCCACTCACGATGGCGTTTGACGCCGACACACATAACACTATTACTCCTCGCCGAAGTGAGTGAGTGAGGCAGTCTATTTAGTAAAATAAATTAATACAAGGCTGCTAAAACACCGAAAATTTCGACATTTGGCAGCCGAAAAGAATTGATTATAACTAAACAAAACAAAATTAAACTGCCATTTACATTCCATGGCTTCCCACATGATTGATGAAGAGATTAAAAAATAGATTGAGTTAAACAATTGATATTATCAAAAGTTATCGTGTTTACGCCGCCATGCGAACTTGATAAATCCACACCATAAGTCACTAAAACCCCTTTTTTGATGTAAAATAGCAATTAATCGATTTAAAAAAATATATTAATAATTTCAACAACCATTTATCTTTCTGACAATGTGCTTTTTATATCATTTATATGTATAATATGATTGCTGGATACGATTTCATGCGACAAAACGTTGGAATCTTAATTTTTAGGCCCTAGCAGAACATACCTGCGCGCTTCGCACTTAAGGCATGAAAAATTAAAAACTTTTTGAAGCTTATAACCTTTCTTATAGTCATAGAGCAAAAATCACATCATATTTCTGAAAGCGAATTCCTACTTTGATAAGTGTTCCATTTTCATATTTATCCGTAAATAGCTGGCCTTTAAGATGATGTTTAACTTGCCAGTATCAAACAAATAAATAGAAAGTCTATGTAACTTCTTTTGGCATGTTCCTTGTATTTTAAAGTAATCTGTGAAAGTAATTGTTAATTGGTTATATTTAAAAATAATATTTATTTTACAATTATTTTTGTTTTTGTTATTAAAAATGATCCCACTGATAGTAAATTAATTAATCAATAAACCTATATATTAACTGGAATTTCAAGTTGTCAAGTAATTAACGATTTACAAAACTCCAATAAACAACAAAATAATATTGATAGTGTGTCATTTAAGTTTAAATATTATTATAACCTGCATAATATAAATCGACAAATAATGACAAATCAGATATTTGTCACCTAGTCAAGTTTTGTTATAAAACTAAAATTACTTTTTCTCCATTTTTAAATGACCATTTTTTTACAATATTTCAATGACTTGATTTTTAAATTATACTAAATAGTGTATACAAAAAGTTATTTAATAAATAAGTGAGAAGTATGTGAGTAAGAGTTTTAGATGTCGTCACATTACTGTCCTTTCTTTAAATGCACTTTTGTGTCACTATCAAAATTAAGATGTTATAATCAATCAAGCCGTTTAGGCTACACAGCATACAAAGAAAATACACATATAAGTAAGATAATATAATAATTTATTTAAAATCACGTGTTTGTGTTATTAAGTTTTTTCTTAATGATTTATATGTATACATTTTTCACAATTATGCAATCAAAGGATTTTACTACATACATATTAAATTAATATTCACTTAAGTATATCAGAAAATATTCCATAGATATATTGTGGAAATAATTCTTAATCCATATTATTAAAATAAATTAAACAAATCATTCCAAATACCAAAACATAATTACACTCCTCAACAAACATGCAAACCAAGGCCGTTCAGAACAACAATCGAATGGCAATAAAGTATTAAACCTAAAGGGCGTTGTCGACCTACTGTATAAATCTAACCCTTTACTATTACCAGCACTAATATAGCTGCAGCTATATTAGTAGTATAGTTGTAGCACGAATGGGTCGGCTCGACCGGGGAAGGTCCACGCTCTCACAGAAAAACAGCGTAAAATAGCAGCTTAACGCTGCTGTGTTTCGTATGGTGAGTGTAGAGATCCGGAGACCCTTTTTACTGGCAAAGAGGCATTCCATCTTAGTCCTCACGGGTGACAACGTATCTGCATCTTGAGTCTTTATTGAGGATAGATGTAGATGTCTATGGGTCACAGTAACCACTTACCATCAGGTGGATTGTGTGCTCGTTTGTCACCCTATCCTATATAAAAAAACCTACCAAAAGTCCACTGATGCTCATAGACCTTCCCATAGATTGCCTCATAGAAGAGATATTTGCCATCATTGCCACGCTTGGCAGGAAGGTTGCCCTTGTAGTAGCGGTGTAAGAACATCCACTACCCCATATGTGCCGTAAGTATCGTAAAAGCAACATAGGGAAACAAACCAGGAGAGTTGGGCAGCACAGTTTTCCTAATAACATAACAATTTATTTTAATAGGAGAGGGGGCAACAAGCATACGGCTCACCTGATGGTAAGTAATAGACTAGAGATACCATACACTACAGATACATCTAAATCCCTATATCTCTAGTGTATGGTAGGTACGAGTGACTTTTATAAAAGCTTTTACAAAAATTTACTTAAGTAAATTTTTGTAAAAGCTTTTATATAATGGATTTCCGCAAAGTAACGCCTGATTCTATTAATTATATTATCGAGTAACTTTTGTTTCAAGCAAGTAGTTTTCTTCGAGCCTGTGTGTTCGTACTGCTAATGTCGTCCGTTACATATCCATGTCCCAAAGAGTTTTTGAGGAAAGCAAACATATTGGTGTAAGTAGACAAAATACAAAAATCACTTTTAAAATAACTTCATCAGAATCAGAGAAAAACTGTGTCACTTATGCATTTTCGATGAAAATAAAATAAGTTTTATTTTTCCCGTCTATCCCAAAAGAAGGGTATACACCCATAAAACTTTTATATTATATGTTTATTTTGGCACGCTCTGTATCCTAAACGACTTGGTGGGTTTTGGCATAATATGATGTGTAGTAAGATTCTTCTTAATTGTGGTAGTGACATAGGGTAATACTTAAAAAAATATCATACTCAACGGAGCCTTTTGATTTTTAACATGTCCATCATGGACGTATTAATAAGGTATATTAATACGTCCTTATTTATACGTTTATGATGTCCATTTTTTGTCTCTTGTGCACGACTAGAGAAGTGACCATGTTATCTAGATTACCGATTAAATAATGTTGAAATTAATAAAATGCGTTTTAATTCGAAA